TAGATATTTAAGGTTTTACGACTACCGTTAGTATTAGGAAAAGTACGTGTTAGGGAAGGTTTTATACCCCGGGCCGGTGTTAGGAATTTCCTGACGCAAGAAGTCAATAAGTTCCCAGAGGGAGAGAGTGAGTAGCCCGTACTTTGATTAGTTCGAAAAAGAAAAGTGTCGAGAAGTAAGGAAAGCCTTAGGCAAGGATTTTGCTTCGAGGCTAGTAGAAATATCTAAAGAATTATATATCTCTCAGGGTAAAAGTCGGTATAGCGTACGAGGTTTTTAGTCCGGTATCATATCCTATAGGTCCGATAAGTGTACAACTTGGACTTGTTGTACCGAGTTGACTTGTTTCTTCTTTGCTCTTCGTAGACCTTGCTATTCTTTGCGCATTTGCCGACTCCTTGCTTACTGCTCTTTGCGCTTCTGTTCTGAGCTGTCCGACAATTGTTTGATTTTGCGATCTAAACTATCGAGTTCCTGAATGTCCTGGATCGTCTAGGACTTGTCTTGTCGTTAGAATCGTGTTATAAATTGCTTGTGATATATCGACTTTCTTGTTTTATAATCGACAAATCTCGAGCAATATGTGGAATCGGGTTGCCGTAATGTCTGCTGGCTCGGTAGGGCGCATTCGTGAGTGTAGAAACAAGTCGATTTTCCAAACAGCTCATCAAAGAGATTTGGTGGGACAATAGAATGCAATTCTCAAGTTCTCTAGCGAAGTTGACAATCCAGGTTGCCCTGGAGATAGCTCAACGATTAGGAAGCTTAACGAAACTTCAAGCGAGAGTTTTTGAGATATTGAAGGGAGATTCTCTGGTGCCTAATGCCAGAGCTGGTTAATAACAACCACATTTCGTAAAACAAGACGTGCCCAGGTTCCGAGGCAGTCCTACCAATTATCAGGTACAAAACAGAAGACTGTCAGAATGAGCTGTAAAAGGTGGATTAAGGAGAGAAGAGCCAGTAGCTAGGGGGCTAGTAGGGAGTCTTATAAGACGACTCTGACCGAGTAGAAGCCGCTAGAATACTAGGCAACCACATAGGCTACCCAGACAAGTCAGGTAGCAAAGACAGGAGTCTCGGCTAAGACCGACATATCGTAACACTAGGGAAGACCATATATACTCCTTATAGCTAAGTGCATAGATTCTCCTAATAAATTAGTTTTAGAGAATAGTAATTCAAAAAGACGATACCGAGAGTATACAGGTAGGAGCTCTATCTACTGGATTTCCTAAGTAGGGGGTCGTATAGTATTAATCTCTTGGCCGCCCTAATTAAGCGAATAGACATCACAAATTTGCACGCTCTTACTAGTATATTACAAGCTTCGCAGAAACCTTTTAAAGCTCGAACTACGACCGTACTCGAATCGAGACCTTCCGAGGGGATCTCCCCTCCCCTCCCCCCCTCTCCCTCTTCTATCCAACTCCGTTCTACGAAAGAACCTTGCTCTCGAAACTCTCCATACCAGCATATATAGAATCCTCCTAGCTTTTCCAACTTCTATTTATAGGAGCATTACGATAGCTTCTGCTTCCCCGTACTCGGAGCCCCGGGGCCCTTCTCCGAGCTTCGAGACACCCCCTCAAAGATTAAAGACAAGGAAAACCCCCTTGGTAAAGGCCCCGAGCCTGACTAGACACCCTACCGGATATATATACAAGCGTTAGGCGTACTTAGGGGAGGCGGTATTCTTTCCTAGATTCTACTAGCTTTCCACTTCAGTTATACGTATTCAAAAAACAGGGCTCGTGTTCCTCATGAATTTTATAGCCAACGTGAATTGAATCGTCTCCCCCTTAAGCTTTATCTCCCGTTCCATTGAGAATCTGCGAGTGAACACAGGAGGGAACACCGGACTTTTCAGTGCTTGATTCTAAAGACGCGATATCGGAGTCTTTAGATAGCTTCCTTCCTCCATATTATTGGTAGTGATTATTGGTAGTGAAAGTCTGAGTCTAGATTGAAATAACCGACTTGCAGAAGCTCTTTCATACGGCGTGTTTTCAGTGTCCTTTCGAGCTTTTGCTTTCTAATGGCGGAAAAGAAATGCACAGGTCGGCATGCAAGAGCAAATGAGACCAATTTGTATTTCGACGAGACTGAGTTAAATTAGTAAGAGCTCATGTAATATATTAGAAGTAATCATACGTTGTTGTCAATAGTGGCGTCAGTGTTCTATACACGCCCGCTTGATGTTGCATTTTGACGCGATAATAAAGCGTAAGAATGGAACATACACATGCCCTGAAATTTCATCAGTTTCTGACTACATTCCCAATTAAGAATTCTTTCATTGAACCAGTCAAAAAATATCAAACTGGCACCAATATTTTTTCTAAGGCTTAATTGAAGTTTCATGATTCCACCCAAAGTTATGAACAAAATTTAAAAGTCAAAAGCAATTGAGACTGCGGCTGGCAGGAGGCCGATTTTCGTTTCTTGCTGATTCGCTTTCGTATTGAGGTGTTCAATAAAGGTTTGTCTGGGTCGAGGAACCGCAAAGATAAATGTAAGAACAACGATAACAATGTAAGCGACCAAACCTGTTACAATTCCAAACCAGATTGTATATCGTGCCCACTGTAGTGGCCGAAATAGTTGCAATTACCAGATGAAGAAAGTTAATTTGATGAATGCAAGCCCGATCGCAACTGAAAGCATCATCAACAGCTGAATCTAAACGACATGTTGATTGAGTTTGGAATCATTGTGGAGAATGGTACTTGCTACAGTATGAAGAAGTCGGATGATGCTAGCTGGCCTATATTGATGTCCCAATCATGGTATCCAGTCTAAGCACTTTGAACACCTGAGTCATTAGCGAAAGTTGGGTTTGTAGATTGTTGTCATACTCAGAACACTTAGGATATATCGGAACAACGTCAGAATCTGTAGGATTTTTACTCCAATACTTGGACTTTCAGACTCCGAAACATACAAATCCTATTGTGCAGGTTGCTGAGTAACATCAATGTCCATATAGTTTGGGGAGCTCACGCGGAAACTTACCATCATCCCATCAAGCTTGTGTGCCACATAGACTTTGCCATATGTTCTAATAAGGAAAAATTCAATCTGTAGAATTAGAAAAATTGACCCATTTGTTGTCAGAATATAGCCAGTCGATTCGGGGTTCTGGAAATTGCTCGTTACCCCTGGAGGCGGGGCTTGGATAGGAAAATACAATGGAAGATTGTCGAGAGAAGGCATAACAAGGTATTTGATATCTTTAGGGATATCGGATGCCAAAAAATGGGGTTTGAAAAGTACAAAATAATGAATTTTGATGTTGTGGATATTTCCAACCCTGGGACTGGTATGCCTTTTAATCAATGTGGGACTAGGTCTGACCAAGGAACATTCCACTTTTCGGGGAGTTGAAGTTGGAATACAGCAAATGAAATGTTGTCTATCTTCCGGAAATACATATGGCCCGGGAGATGCCAACTGGGTTATATGTTGGATTGATGCGACGTGGTCACCAACCAACCAAAACCTCGTACATCAATCGGAGAAAACTAGCCTTAGGGACCATGTTTCTGTAGCCTGAAGAGTGTGGGGTCAATATTCAGCGGAACGCCCGCAGATATATAGAGTAGGCGAATGAATAGACAAATATTATTCGGATATATTTTTATTTTATTCTAGGGCTTTAAGTTTATTTGTATTCATTTATATTTATATTCTTAATATATTAATTATTCTGAATATATTTATCGAATATCGAATATTTATAAATATTAAGGACAAAAGTAATTCCGGCGTCTTAGTAGTAGAGCTAAGAAACTTACTTTTTTCTACCCCTTACTTAGTCTTTACCCCTTTTATTAAACAACGTACTAGTATATATATTACAAGTATAGTGTTTAAGCCGTTCCTAGTTCCGAGGTTAATATAGAAAGGCTCTTTTTAGAAGGGAGGGATATCATTAGCGTACGCTATTACAATATAGAAGTATATACTATAAGACAGCTTAGATTAATAAAGAGCGACCTTGACCTAAAGGAGAAGGTTAGTAAAGTAATAGAGGCCGAAATTAAGGCGTAAAAACAAGCTAAAATTAGCGTAAGTCCTTACCCAATTTAGCTCTATAACACTACTAATAAAAGTACTTTCAGGCTCGGCGAGCTCTAGTTAAATAAGCTGAAAATAGTTACAATTTCCCGGGATTTAGCTAGTACCTATAAAATTAACTAATTATATATATACTTGAATATTCGAGAATATTCGAGATTTCCGGAGGTTATTTATTATTTTATTCTACAATCTTGCTCTATTCGTGAATATATTCTGTATAACCTCACTTTATTCATATTCGCTTGAATACATGAATATTCATATTCATTTATTCATTCGCCTACTCTACAGATATACCAACTGATCTTGGCAATACTGTAGTAGTGTTGACATCAATCTGATCTGCAAGTTGGGTGGTAGTTGGCTTCCAGACCCACCAGGAAACGTGCGGACAAGATGATGCCGAAGCGACCCACCATGCCCAAGGTGAAGCAACTACTATTTCCAACAATTTGCTCCCCCAAACTAGGTATGCGATGGCAGTCCGCGGGGACCTTGCCCACTTATTGGTAGGAATTCTACGTGTTATCGGTCGAACAAAAAGTCGATTTGAAAGAACATGGGTAGGCGGTCGCTACCAGTTTTACAGCGAATGGTTCTCAAATATAGACCAGGCAAGAAACAGCAGTCACAATGAAGTTGGTACTTCAACAGTTTCCCCAGGATAGGAAGGGTGAAATGTAGTGCTGCAGGTGAATTACTATACCAGGTTGTCCTGATGTGGTCACTGTGCACTTCAATTAGAATCATATCAAGGGATCAGAAGCATCAAATGAGTACAATTGCACCATCTGGTACTGCAAGTTGTATTTCAAAGCTTTCTTCTAACGTTGACGATAACATCCTCTCCAGCTTCAGGCCCCATAACACCTCACGAAGGAACTTTAACGTCCATCTTAGGAAATTGTGGCTTCCCTTTATCGGATACAAGAGCTATATCGAATCTATTAGAAGTTGAGCGAGAAATAAGTGAACTTCGCGTCTCGCTAAAAACCTGCCGGGGCACTGTTGACGATCACGATTAGTATTGGAACCTCGAAGGGGTTGCCTAAGAAATGAACGTAGAAATATGGAGACTCTGCGGATCGAAACACTGCCTTGACTCACACAACAACCTAGAAAATAAAAAACATACCTGTGTCAGTCCTCCCCCAAACGGTCGGTAACTGCTACTTCGTACCAAACGTTTGTTGTACAAAAATCTTTTTGCATCAAACTCCTTCGCGTTTGAGCCAAAAACCTCCGGATCGAAGTGCATTTGAGAGTAGGGCATAAGTAGTTGCCTCCCAGGTTGGAGTAATGTATCACCTACAGCCACTGCAGTAGTGATGACTCGGACGCCAATGGGGTAGTTGGAAATTCGAAGAATTTCTTCGTAGAGCGAGTCCAGAAGAGGACAACTGTCGAGGAGATACTGCATATTAAGACTTCCATCAGACTGAAAAGCCGGTTGTATCTCTGAGGTTATATCCTTCAGTAGCATTTCGTCATGAAGAAGATAGGCTAGGCACCAAAAACACAAAAGATAAGCATTCGTATTGATTCTGTTCAAACCGCGTCAGTAAGGATTCGTGTTGCAACAGCGGAAATAAGTGATTACAAACGAAACAGCACAAAAAGCATAGAACTCGACTGAGATTCTTCTCAGATACCAAGTCCTTCTATACCATCCTCAATTGACTTTGTCACCCACGAGGCATCCTCTCGATGCTCCCTTGGTAGTGCGAGGTATTTTGTGAACGCGGTTTCTCCTTTCTTTTTGGCATTATACATGTCTTTGGCAGCAAAGTATGGGTATTGATAGCTGAGTTTCCAACTGTCTCCATCAAAGACGAAAAAGTCGGCAAGTAGGTTGGGATCAATATGGAAGATTGAATCTCCAAAAAAGGCTCTGGTGGCTGAATCTACCTAAAACCACGAGGGAGTCTTAGCATTTTCGTACAAAAATAAGAAACGAAACTTTGATTCGGTCCAGGGCAGTATTACAAAGAACATCCGGCTGTTGGGAGATGAAACGCTTTGGGTTGAAAATTGCAATTGTGAAATGACTTGGACTCACGAGGACCTCGCCGCACCACTTGAATAAGGAAACAATTTTCACTTCGTCTCCGTAACCCGATAAAACCATGGGGCCAGCCAGCTTTTCCCAATTGAGAGATTTGTCGATATTTCCCAGAAAGGTTGTTTGGAGCTCGTCAAGCCTTTCTCCAGGATGCATCTGGAGCTTGAAATTTTCATGGGCTGTGTCCATCCAAAATTTACCATTTGAATCCAGATCGAACATTTTACCTAAAGTCGAAGCCCTCAAACCAAAAGACGCCATGATTTCCTTGATAATAGGGTTGAAATCCAAACCTTTGGAGTTTTTGTAAACAGAAAGGACGTCTTTAGGCGAGTTGACTATGTGAAGCTGTTGGCCCATTACTGTTACAGAAAAGATCTCTCGAGTATTTCCAAAGTACTCCCTAGAATATTTACAATGTTAGCGGCAATTCTTTTTTCTGGTGCAGCTCAAAGAACCACTGTTGAGGTTATTCAGCGGCACAAAGGCTATATCATTGGACACAAACCTTGCATATGAGAAGAAACTGTTTGAATCTCTGAACATGGCGACGACATGACCAACGACTATTATCGCAGTTAATTGAAAGTCTAAAAGTTTCCCACATATGATCACTTCACTCACCTGGGACAAAATAGGGAAGCTCTCGAGGTTGTTTCGGACGAAATTTTGGGGAGATAATAAATCTCCATGTCCACCAGGCAGACCAGAACGCAAACCCGCTAGATAAGAATGGGATCGGAGAAAAAGATAGAGAGAGCATTTTGGATGAGCAACTTTCGCGAAAGAAAAATTCGAAATATATCGACATTCAAAGATATACGTTCATGGCAGATTCAACACCCTGGTAGTTGGTGCACCACCTTTCACCTTCCTATTTGAGTGACGGTACAGCAGGGGGCCAGGAGTACCAACAGATAGCCACCAACTTCTCCAATCACTGTGGTATACCGAGAATCTGCCGAATCATCTTTGAGCGCCACCAACTCGAGGAGTTGGTTGGGATTACAGCGGTTGGCAGCTTTTAATGTGGGGAGCATATCTTACAAGGGCGTCCGCATATCACTGGCAGGACATGGGACCTGCCTATATATTTCACACTCTTCTCTGTCATAACTTGCCAGTATACGTAAAAATCCCTCTGCAGTTCTCAGTACCCGACCTAGCTCTACCATTTATATTGATTATAGTACTTCTCTGTTTGATTGTACTAGTTAAAATGGTCCTTGTACATTACTCGGATAAATCTATGAGAGCTCTATCTGCAAGTACTCTCCGTAAGTATACTACGTAAAACCCGTCTCTCTTGTTTTATATCCCTGTCCTTTCCTCACCTATTTCTCTTCTTCACTTCCCCCTTATTTCTTCATATAACACCTGTAAAATGATAGTTTGGTGAATTTCAGGTGAATGAAGTCAAAACAAGTGTTTTTTTGAATTCACACGATTTTAGTCAAGTGCAAGTCCAAGTCCAAGTATAAACTTTTATTTTGAAGACCAGAGTAATCATAATTTCTAGCCTCTTGTAAAAGAAGAAGCTGAAAAGTAAAATGTGCGTTGTATAGTAGGTAAGATTACATGTAGAAGTGCCGTGAGACATGACCAGAAACAAACTCTTCTTACATCGACACAACTCTCCGTAGTGCTATGATCGCCAATACACAAGAAATCAAAAGACTACCTAATCCACAAGCCAGAAAGATGCCTAAGTAATAAGAACTGCGATGTTCAAGCCCAAGGGAGTATACCGACAAGGGGGTAAGCCAACTAATTCGCTGACATGAAATAAAAACACCAGTTAGGAAGGAGCAGAATGCTTATTATATTGGGATTAGATGAATTACTGTACGACATGCAACAAATACCCCATCCAGGAGTAAAGTTTTGTGATTGTGATGTTCAGGGTTGATGACTCAAGGAATTTAGCTCATTTAGCGAATCAGTTTGATGTTGATGAGTTGTGATAACGTGAGATTGTGACGTTTCACTCACAATTACACTACGTTTCATCAGTTTGATTACAAAGAATTTTATTATATTTCTGCGTTATTTTATTATCTGATCAGTAACTGTAAGATTATGTGATTGTTTATCGCTAAAAGAAGATTTTTTTTGAGACCCTCGTGACTTTTGTTATATCTATGACGGGCGAAAGGGCAAAATACACTTCGACAGAGAATATGAAGAAGGTGAGCTTAAATCGCTCTTCACCAAGAAGTATGCTTCACTCCCAAGCTACTTTGAGTGAGTAGAATGTGGTTGATTTAGAATCATTAGCGCGTTTCCCACAGTTGTACTCAGAAGGTCACAACTAGTTACCTTGTCTAATGCTACTCTACAGGCCTTGAAATTATATATTTTTCGACGTCAGCAGAAATCGAATTTTAAATAAACTCATAGGTGTAAGGTAGTATACCTGGAAAACAGTATTTATGACTCGGCTGTGCCCAGAGGGAAAATATATTTGGAAAGTGTAAGTAACACTCTCGAGTCTCGCCAAGAACTTCAAAAATTATAGATATCGCACTTCCACTTTGAGAAGCCCGTCATTACAGCTTAACCTCATTCCTTGCTCCATGTTCATCTCATATTTCTCTCTCGTCGCCATTTCTTCTCTCACCCCCTCCACGCAACCTTGAAGCTTCCAATGCTCATCATGTACCACATCACGTGATATATAAGCTTACCACATATAAATGCTTTACTATATAGAAACACTCTACTCAAGTATCTAATAGTCAAAGACTTTATATTACACGGATACACCATATCTAATCACGATGACCAAAAGACCGCTCCCATCACATCCCCCTCCCAAAAACAGAACACGTGACATACCTACGTGACCTGCCACGGCCGTTCGCTCAGCTGACCAGACCAGCTGTCACAAACCCAAAAAGAGCATCTGAGCCTCCGTCTACACCCTATCAAATACAGAAACCAGTCAGCAGATAGACAGATAACTCACATGCTAAATTTTCAGCTTCGAGGTTTGTATTTTGCGAAGAGGGTTTACTGAGGGTGAGTTGACGTGGGGAGAGGAGGGTCAGAGGCATCGAAATCTAGTATCTTATATGCTTAAATACCTATGAAGAATAAAAAGAAATCCGACACACTTCCCGAAAGGGTGGTGTAAAGATATCTAACTATCTATCTCTCTAGGTATACATATGGAGCTAGAACATCCAGCCCCAAATCCATACAAAAAATCCACATCCACAGCATCCCAAAACATAACAACCAAAGCACCACACCAAACCCTTCAACTTACACTGCCAGAATAACACCCGCTCATCTCAAGACCTTTAACATGAAAAGGAGGTACAGGACCACAAAATCATGAGGGGAAAAAATGCATTCCTATGTCTGAATGTCTGAATGTCTCATATCCCGGCTGACCCCCAATCCCACGACTTGAGGGAGTCATAAGGCTGAATTCCTAACTCATGAGAAGCGTACCAACCAAATCCAAACCTCTCATTCTACTTCGCCCTACTGACTTGCTAGCCTACCTACCACCAGCTGCTCCAGTCACAAAACACAGGCACATCAGACGGTCATAACTCATACCCATACCGTACATATTGTATTATTGTATACATCCAGACCCCTATAGCACACAACCAGGGCCCAGACAGGCACCTCACATGCATCACCATGTGGCCCGCCCAGGAATCCATCCACCTTGTGTCTGGACACTCACAATCACAGGTCCTCTTTGTTATAACATAGACGAAATGCCCGGACCCCCAAAATCCCACCAGGATGTCACAAAGAGAAAGGTTCCAGACGAATTTATGAAAGAGAAAGAAGATTAATCGATTTCCTTCTAGAACACCTAGCCCAGCGCCGGCCCGAAGAAGAGTTTGAGTATTGGACCTTTGGTACAGATATCTGTCTATTTATTTATACATTACGAGACCCCCGCCGCAACTCTAACTCCAACTCCGAAGAGAGTGAGGAAATTACGTGGATCCAGAGGATTAAGAGCCAACGAAAATAATTATCTAAGGAAACGAGGCAGACATGCCAACATTCCAGCTCCAACGATTGAAATCCTGGGTGTTAGGTAGCATCTCCATCCCTCACTCAAAGCCCCGCCAAACAAACATACACCCGGATTCTTCTCTGCAAGAGGAAGAGAATGAATCAGAAAAATGCACAATCTGCAATTCTCCAGTCCACACACCCCGCCCGGACGACAACCTCACAGAAACCCTCCTGATTCTTCCCTGTTCTCACACTTTCGGCTCTATCTGTATAACTCGCTGGCTTGAAAACGACTCCCCGCATAAAGACTGTCCACAATGCCGACGCAGCATGTTATACTCAAAATGTGGACATTTGGTAAGGCCAGCTGAGGTAGCGCGCTCGCCTAAGTGCGTTAGGGAGGAGGAGATGCCAGAGATGTGTGTTGTATGCCGTGGAGACGGAGTTCTGGGTGCTTTAAGGAAGAGGAGGGACGAAGAGGAGAGGCAGTTGAGAGAGATGAGGGAGTGGTTGCCTGGGGTTTGGGGAGGTATGTGTGAGGGTTGGGGAGCCGCTGAGGTTGGAAAGGGGTGGGGAAAGGAAATTGATGATTTGAGGGTTTTGTTGGAGAGGGAGAGGGTTCAGTGGTGATATTTCCCCTTCGGCTCATTGGTTGTATATGAATTGCGGCTCTGTGGTTTGGGAGATGCTCGAAGCTCAATGTTTCTGTACCAGCGATCGTTTGTTTCTTGGGGTATTGGTTGTATATTTTCCGGAGTTTGAGGATTTCCCAGTTTTGAGGCGATGATACCCATGCTTTGCAATTACATGAAATTTTCATAGGTTTAACGACTACATCAGGTTTCATTTCATCGTGAGACAATTTGAGGTTGTTGGTCGCTTTCTGTTTCTTCGTCGCTGTCGTCTTTGAAGCCTTCTTCTAAATCTCGACTTAATCGCCTGCCATCATCATCTCGCCCTCGTCGAGCATCCAGCGACAATGCTTCTCTGCGATTGTCATCCACATCGAACAATTCCTCTCCATCCTCGTCGTCAAATTCGCTTCCTAATCCATCCTGAGCGCTGGCTGTGTGGCGACTTCGTTCGAATTGTGTTCTCCAGCTTGAGGGAACCAGTAGCTGAACCAATGCTTCTTGCACCTTGTGGCGGAAAGATGTAGTCTGTGTAGAAATCGCATCAATGGGTAGGTAGTTGCTATATCTACCACGGTATCGTTTCCAAATTGGCACAATCAAGAAAGAAACGAGGAGATAGAGGATGAGGGAGATGATGGCCGGCACAAGCAGAGTCTGGAGGGTGTTAGGGAGTTTTATAGCTTCTGAATCGCATTTCTTCGCACCTTGATTAATGACAATGCGGAACCCATTTTGGATTCGGCTTCTTCGTCCTCGTTTCCTGCAGCACCCGGAGCTGGGTGTGGAATATAAGAGTCGCCGTCAGCTTGCCGAGTCCACGTAACCTTACCACGGCTGAGTATGGGTAATGTTAACAGAGAAGGAACAGAGGGCATTCGGATCGCGTGAGACTGAAAGGAGTGTGCGGGTTGTGAGAGAGAGTTTTAAATAGGAAAATTTGTGGTTGTGATCGGTTCGCACAAGACGCAAAGGATTGGATAGAGTCCAGACAGCCTGGTGCTTCCAGTGACGTTGGAAGTCAAAGTGGAGTACAAAGGGATGGGCAATGGATCGGGAGGGGAGGCTCTGAGGCCCGTGGGGCTGGCCTTATTGAAAGTCAAGACGATGCAGGGTGTGGGTGTTGAACAGAGCGTAAGTAATCGCTTAAGGCAGCAAGCAAGGCTTGGTTTCTATTCCAGCGCAAATGCAGTGCAGTGTTAGTAAGTACGGAAGTAAACATGACTGTAAATAAATCTCGGTAACAGTTGTTTGGTTCTTCTAAAATTAGCGAGAACTATGGGTAGGTAGCAATAGCAGATGGATCAATCACTCCCTCTAGATTCTTTGTCCGATTTCATTTATATCCTGTCCTTACGTGGCACTTGCACTGTACGGAATACTCGTTGATGAGTACCATCAGAACCACAAGCCACCCATGCGTGGACCTCCACATTCATACCCCTGACGGGCCAAGAACTTCCGATCCCACCGCCGCTTTCACGGGCATCAATGCAGGGATGTTCAGGAGAGCAGCGGCAACAAGCAGAAACCTAACGATCGTCTTGACTTCCTCCTCCCACCAAAGAGGAGACACTCTTTGACCCTTTCACTCTGCCACCCCAACTTATCGCACAACACCACGCCGCCAACCGATCCCCCACCTACGATACTCCCATTGGCAGCGTCATCTCTCAGTATTCTGTTTCCGTTTCTGTCTTGCGACCGTGCTACTCCTGGGGAAGTGTTTGAGAATTGGACTCGTTTCAGCCTTTGCCTGCCCTCCCCTCCAAATTCCTGTCTTATGACCAGGGGAATCCACAACCTGCGACCATATACCCAGCCTATATTCTCATAACTTCAGTTACGAGCGCATTCACCGACCCAACTTAAGGTTAGAAATCAGTAATACAAACCGATTGAACTACTTGCGGAAACTTTGGGTAAGGACATGGCCAATTTGAAAGCTGGTTTATAAATCCAACCTGCTCGTCGAATTCTCAAACGATCGCAAGCTGGACAGGATCCAAGCTTCCACAAGATTCAAGCTAACTGTTCTTCCATGGTAGGGATCAATTCTGGCAACCGCAAGCACCAAGCTCTCGCTTTTGCTACACGAGTGTAATAGAGAGACTCGAGGGGGAGGCATGGGAGATACCTGGTCCTGAGACCCTGACGAGAAGGAGGGCTTTTGCTGAAGACGGGTGTGAAGGGATTCACGACTCGGGTGGGACTACAGAATACGCATAATCGAGTGCGAAACAACCTCCGATTCGAGCCCCAACCATGTCGGCAGCAGACAAGGCCAGAGCCACGTCTGGTGGAAAGTCTTCTTTCTTTTCTAGAAGCAGCAAAAAGGACAAGGACAAGCGAAATGCCAGCGACGAGGCTGGGAGATATTTGGGAGGAGACTTGGACAAAAACGCATCTACTTCATCGCGAACCTCTCGACACACCCGGGGTTCATCAATTGCCTCGCTCGACCGCCCCGATTCGCCTGGTGCGGACTTGAGAGGATTGAATCAGATGGCAGGTGTCATTACTTCAATACCATACGACAGTGTCACCGCAGATAGTAGATCCCCAATTCCAGTAGACTATCTCCCACGAAGCGACCATATGCCAGTACGGCCTCCGCAATCCCCTCTACCACATCACTTAAACAACGCAGCAGGCGACTATCATCAATACCCCTCCATGGAAACTCCATCGCTGTCAAATAGCAGCTCTCGTCTTTCTGGCCCACGACCCCCACCAAATATGGGAAATGTCACAATGGCATCCACAGGAAATCGAAATACGCAATTACAGCAATGGGGACCAAATAGGAATAGCAATGCAAGCACGCTGACACATCACCATCACAATCCGAGGTACGACTCATACTCTACAAACCAATCATCGGCTTATGGAAGAAGCTCTTATGACCAGTCCAGCATGGACTCCAGTACGGAACGTTCTAGTGTTTTTTCTTCTGGCAGCTCTTCTAGGACCGCCTTAGCTCCACAATTTTCAAACAGCTCTTTATCGCCGTCCCACGCAGCTGGTCGCGATTCACATAGTAGACTTACCAAATTCCCGGGCCAACACCACGCGGGCTTCGCTTCTACTAACTCATTTATGGGAACACCTGATGGATTTAACATCAATAAACCATCTGACGATAGAGTTATAGAAGAACAATTCCTAGCCTTGATGCAGAAGAGAGGGTGGCATAACCTACCGGATCAGGCCAGACGTCAAATGATGGCATATCCTCCTGCAAAGAAATGGACATTGGTACATCAGGATCGGTTGACGGAATGGCAAGGAGAGCAAAAACGGAAGACAAATACTCCTCGGCAAACTGGGCAATATGGAAATGCAATGGAAATGTTAATGAATGCCGAGGAAGAGGGAACGCCAGAGTGGTTTGTGAGGAAAGTCATGGATAACAGCATTTCCGCAAAGCAGCTGCAGAGTTTAGCCGTAAGCTTGCGAACACAACCTATAGGATGGGTGAAGACTTTCGTGGAATGTCAGGGACAAGTCGCTCTCACCAACGTACTCGGAAAGATCAATCGAAGACAAGCTCAAGGGCCAGCCCCCGCGGATGGAACTACCAGTGATAGAGATCTTGACCGAGAGTATGATATTGTGAAATGTCTCAAGGCTCTCATGAACAACAAATTTGGAGCGGATGATGCTTTGATGCACCAGCAAGTCATTGTCTCGCTGGCTACTTCGTTGATCTCGCCTCGCTTAACCACACGAAAACTCGTTTCCGAGGTTCTCACATTTTTGTGTCATTGGGCCGATGGTCAGGGTCATCTCAAAGTGATCCAGGCTATGGATTATGTGAAGAATCAGCATGGGGAAAATGGACGATTCGACGCATGGATGCGAGTTGTTGAAGTTACTGTCGACGGTCGAGGAAAGATGGGCAGTCTTGTGGGCGCCAGCGAAGAACTTCGAAGCGGTGGCATAGGCATGGAAAACCTTCTTATGGAATATGCCGTGGCTACCTTGTTCCTCATTAACATGGTCGTTGATGCTCCTGAACGGGACCTCCAGTTGCGTGTTCATATCCGAGCACAATTTACAGCATGTGGTATCAAGCGTGTATTGACAAAGATGGAAGGATTCCAATACGACATTATCGACAAGCAAATTGAAAGATTCCGTACCAACGAGGCCATCGATTATGAAGATCTTCTAGAGCGTGAAAACAGCAGTATCAAAGACAGCATAGAAGGCGATGTGAAAGATCTCACTGACCCAACCCAAATTGTGGAGGCTATTATGTCGAAGGTTCAGGGCAGTAGGACGCAAGACTACTTTGTTTCGGCTCTGCAACATCTCCTGCTTATGAGAGAGAATGACGGGGAAGAACGATTACGGATGTTCCAACTCGTGGACTCGATGCTTAGTTATGTTGCGATGGACAGGCGACTGCCGGACATGGACTTGAAGCAGAGTTTGAATTTCACAGTTCAGAGCTTACTTGACAAACTTCACACCGATTCGGAAGCCAGGCAAGCTCTCGATGAATCCATTGAAGCTCGTCAACTTGCCGATTCGGCCATCGCCGAGAGGGACGAGATGAGAGCCCAAATTGAACTTGGTGCTGAAGGAATGGTTGCTAAACTTCAAAGACAGTTAGATGAGCAGAACCAAATAATTGATGTTCAAAGGAGGCAGATGGATGCTATGAAAGGCGAAGTTGATAATCTTCAAACTGTTCGTGCGAAGGAAGCTCAGCGTAACGAGCTTGAGACACGAGAACTATACCTCATGCTTCGCGATGCCCAAGATATTGCAGCGTCCAATGCGGCCAAGGGCGCTGCTGGGGGTCTGGGTCAAAGTGATCCATCTCAAATGAACGGAATCCTTGACCGCGAGCGACTCATGGACCGCCTTGAAATGCAAATTGAGCGACAAAAGACACAATTTAAACTTGAAGGCAGAGTTTGGGGTGATGCTGTCGGTCCTTCTGATCGCCTACGGGCTCTGCGTGAAGAAATGGACGGGGATAGAGGGGAAGATGGACCACGTGAAGGAGGTGGTCTTGCGCCTCCTGGTAGGGACTACACCAACAGTGTGCTCGGCAGCGTGTCTAGACAAACCAAGATCCCTAGAAAGCCTATCAATTCTCAAGACTTCACGGAAGATGAGGATCTCGACGACAACGAAGAGGGCACTGTCTACGAAAAACCCCGTATCATTGAGATGAAGCGTCCAAAACAAGCACGTGGATATCTTGATGAGATGAGCGCCAAAGTCCAGAAATACGATGCCAGTGACGATGAAGATAATGATGGGGTTACAACAGGTACCTCTCATCCAAGCCTGGAATCGGATACTCCAAAGACTCCTAGCGACGAGGCCCAAGATAGTGCTCCTCCTGTGCCACCCAAAGCATCTACATTCAACGGACCCCCACCGCCTCCTCCTCCTCCACCTCCTATGCCATCGCAAGCGGGTGGTTTCACAGGAGCACCCGCACCTCCGCCACCACCGCCTCCCCCTGGAGGATTCAAAGGTGGACCACCTCCTCCTCCCCCTCCTATGCCTGGAATGGGCGGAAACCGTAGTCTACCACCGCCGCCTCCTCCGCCAATGCCTGGCAAAATGTCTGGAAAGTTCTTACCGCAAGCTCCAACATATAATACAGGTCCATCCCTTGGATTACCTGTCATGCGACCAAAGAAGAAACTTAAGGCCCTGCATTGGGAGAAGGTTGACAATTCTATGACCACTCATTGGGCTGCACATGCTCCTACTCCCCAAGATAAAGAAGAGAAGTATGCTGAGTTGACAAGAAAGGGTGTTCTTGACGAAGTTGAGAAGTTATTCATGGCCAAGGAAATCAAACAACTTGGTAAAGGGGCTGGCAAGAAGACGGACAAGAAGCAGATCATCTCAAGTGAGCTGATGAGAACCTTCCGTAAGATTTCTATACTCCCACTATCTAAGTAATACTAACAATTTTAGAAATTTCCCTTGCCAAGTTTTCTGCTTATCCTGTGGAGAAGGTTGTCCAAATTATCATTCATTGCGACAAGGAAGTCTTGGACAATTCCGTCGTCATGGAGTTCTTGTTGAAGGATGACATGTGCATCATTCCCGAGAACACCGCAAAGCTCATGGCCCCCTATAGCAAAGACTGGACTGGACCAAATGCTAGCAAGGATGAGCGTGAGCAGGACCCCAGCGAGCTCACTCGTGAGGATCAAATATACCTGCAAACCGCATACGAACTTCACCACTATTGGAAATCAAGGATTCGAGCCCTTAGCTTAACTAGATCATTTGAGCCCGAGTACGACGAGATTTCTACCAAACTCAAACAGGTTGTTGTCGTATCAGAGTCTCTACGTGATTCGGTCTCATTCATGAACGTATTGGGTCTGATTCTGGATATTGGTAACTACATGAACGATTCCAATAAACAGGCGAACGGTTTCAAATTGAGTTCGCTTGCACGACTTGGAATGGTGAAGGATGACAAGAACGAATCTACCTTTGCAGATCTTGTAGAGAGAATTGTCCGCACACAATATCCGGAATGGGAAGGCTTCGAGGACGACATTAATGGTGTCATCACGGCGCAGAAGCTTAACGTTGAGCAACTGCAACAGGATGCCAAACGATACATTGAGAACATCAAAAATGTTCAAATGTCATTAGATTCCGGAAACCTGAGCGATCCAAAGAAATTCCATCCTCAAGATCGCGTTAGCCAAGTCGTTCTCCGTTCTATGAAGGAGGCCAGAAGAAAGGCGGAGCAAATGCAACTCTACCTCGAAGACATGGTGCGAACGTATGATGATATCATGGTCTTTTATGGTGAAGATCCTGCCGATGAGAACGCTAGAAGGGAATTCTTTGCGAAACTGGCCGTTTTCGTGATCGAGTGGAAGAAGTCACGTGAAAAGAACATCCAACTCGAAGCACAGAGGAAGCGAAATGAGGCATCTATGAAACGAAAGCATGCTCAACTCAAGATACAAAGTGGTTCCGACAGCAGCGCACCCAACTCACCATCATCGACAGGCGCCATGGACTCTCTTCTCGAGAAGCTCAGAGCTGCCGCTCCACAAGTCCGGGACCAACGAGACCGCAGAAGACGTGCACGACTGCAAAACCGACATCAAGTTCGCGTCGCATCTGGTCAGAAAATTCCAGAACCGGATGAGATACCTGAGGTCGAAGAAGGATTGTTGAGCCCTGAGCCTATCAGTGAAGGCCTCGCCACCCCCGACATAATCACGAAGGCCGAGGGATCAGAGGACGACATTGCTGAACGAGCCGCCATGTTGCTACAAGGCATGCGTGGCGCAGATGGTGCTGAGGATGCAGATGCTGCGGAGCGACGTGAGAGTGTCCGTCGGTCCAAGAGAAGAGAAAATGCAGACGAGGAACGAAGAGCCCGGCGGCGACGAAGAGAGAAGGCGTCGACTGCATCAGAACCTCATGAAGCTGACACCACTATCCACGAAGACGACGGCGAGTTGGGCGTCACCAGTCCGGCCACGGAAGAGGCACCTGATCAACTACCTACCCCAACCACGGTCGTCAGCCCACCCAGTCCTAACGGATCGAAAACGAAGCCTATCGAGCTGGATTGAGCGATCATCATTCTTCGACATACAACCATTTCTTTAAAAGGCACACATTATGGAGAGGAGAGGTCTGGGATAGAGGGCCTTTTGTAATGTTTATTTTTCGCTTCACTCGATTGATGTCCCAGATTTCATGACGAGATGACCCTTTTAATGCGTCTATTCTTCATGCCGCCGATCCCTACTTACCGGCTCGCTCTCCTTTTTCCGTTTTATTTTGTATTTTCTTGAGGGGAGTTTGAGAGTTGTCTTTTGTTTCTTCTATACATTTTTATATCCTTGGGGCGGGGCTGAAATGGTTGTGAGCAAATGAAATCTCTCTTGGAACTGTTTTCTGGCGAGAAAAAGCTTATTGAATTGGATGGGCGGGGAGTTGTGGGGTTGGTCGGGCCATGGATGGATGGACGGATTGTAAGATGGTGGTTGGACTGGGAGTGGTTGGACCTGGATGGGGTCTAGAAAGGAAATACATGGTGTGGATGGATGGATGGTGTATTTGAGCAACTGATTGACTAGATTGGTTCAATTGGGTCTCTTGGCTTCCGTCTTTCTTGTTTTCTGTGACTCTTGCCTCGTCTTTTTCAAACAAAGCATCTCTTCTTTTTGCTCGGCATAGTAGAGCGTTGGGAGCGAAACGTTTTTGACTTGGTTGCTTTGCTTCAGGGAAGGGGTTGGTGGATGGTGGAGACTGAGTGATGAGGTGCCCTCCTTTTGGGTATCTTGCTGCTACCTACCCTACTGGACTGCGATTGTTAGGTTCTTGTTTATTTTTATATCCTATATTCGAACTCTTAGAGCAGATAGTTTTAAGAATTGAAGTTTTGAGAGTTGTGATTTGTTTGTGCTTTAGGAGGTAGAAATTATTCGGAAAGAGTGAATGCAAGAAGCTGTCGCCATCTAAGCACATCAACTTCCACCTGGAATGAGCTTTGGTGCTATTCACCTTCCCCCACCTTCCTAATTTGGCGTGCTTGTACTAGCGTCAAATAGCTCAAGTAGCCGAGCTTTTGCCCTGTGCAACCTGAACCTGCTGCCCACTACCATCTCGCAAGAGATATCTCTGACAGTTGCCAACGCTATCTGGAGAGAACAGTTCCTTCCAAAGGTAATGCCCTGATCTTACATAACTCATCGAAAAATGACCTTGTGCTTACTAGACTTTTCTAGATGTCCGAATTACCAAGGCCATCTGAGGTTCCTCAACTGCGCCCCTCTCACACAGATGGCAAACTCCACGTCTGTGATCGGCATTTCAACACTGCTACCCTGGAAGAGAAACAAGAGCGGCCGATAACCATGTTTCGTATTATGATTTCTCCTGATTCTGAGCAAGTTGGCGACATGGGTCATAAAAGCGGAACTGCTTCTGAATCATCGCTATCCCTCCGTGATATACCAGCTGAACTTCGGCAAGAGATATACAAAGCATACTTTGAGATTGGCCGACCTGATGGACCAAATTACTTTCCGACCTCTGAAGACCCTTTCATTGCAGCACTCCGACCATGCGACGTTCTTTACAAAGAGATTTTGCATTTCGCATATCAACATTTATATGTTGAAGTTGACATACGTCAACCACCACAACGTTTTTTCTCATTGCGCCTTGATGCTGTGAGCTTGCTGACAAACATTGACTTGCAATTCATGTATGTACCCTCAATCTCTCATAACGGTCTAAATCACTGATTTATTCTAGCCGATTCGATTCCAATCGGAGGCTGTACGAATATGACGCGTTAGGTGGGATACTTCCACCTCACGAGGCTACTGATGCAATGATCGATCCAGCCCTCGATCTTCTATCCCATGCTACTAGGCTTCGGATCCTCAGCGTATATTTCGACTGTTTTTCTTTCGGAACAACCTCGATTGAAGTCTGGCTCAAACGAATTTTGGAGCAAAACAACACCCGCGAGCTTCGCGAATTTCATTTGCGAATGGGTACTTGGCTTAGTTATGCTATAGATCCTACCAAAAAGGAAGCTGAGAGTTTGCTCAATAGCATGGATCATGTTGAAGCTGGGGGACGGTGGGTAGAGGTGCAACGTGAGATGTGGTGGCCATGGAAAGAGGACCAATGGACAGCCGAATTTCATTGGGTTCTCGATAGTACTGCTTACCCTATCAGTCATTATTATGCCCGTCATCATGGCTACGAAAAAGAAAGTGGAAGGCCTACGGTACTAGAGGATTAGTCTTATGCTTTTGATTTTTCTGCATCAAAGGTCGTCATGATTGTAATACAATTGAGCATCCTACAGTTTTAAATGGCTTTCAAAAGCTTATTTGCCTTGAAGTTTCTTTTGATTCTGTGTCTTCCCATTTCGTGAGGCATACTTATGGGGATTTAGAAACAGACATTACCAGAATTCCAATCAATCTGAAGCGATCTTACCTTGAATCAAAAACTTACCGGTTTATTAGAAGACCGAGAGGATGTTCCTGAATGTTTCTTATCTAATGGCAAAAGCCGCTATTGGTTCCACTGTACTCATACGAGCGCTAAATTAGCCGCAGCAGGCGGAAAATATTGTTGGGGCTCACAGTCCTTGAATGTGCTTCTCATGGGCCTTGGGGGGGCCCGGGGTTCCAAATCAATATGGAGGTAACGCTAAGCGAGTTGGAAAGGGGCCGGTGTCTGTGGACGAAAACCAACAGCTTGGGGCCATAAAGGTAGTAAATAGTGCAGGAAAATTGGTGGAAATAGATTTCTCGGAGCCATGCGCAGGTACTTCAGTACTCAGCCACAGAAGGAACCAACAACCAATAAAACTGATGTTGGTTGGTGGTGCACTTTTGACGCTGGTGATTGGCTAGAATCTGGGGTCGCTTACATGGTCAACGTTGGGACCTTCACCAACACGACCTTCCATCTTACGTGCCACTTTCCCAGCAGCAAACCTCTCAACTCATATTGAATGCGTTATTGAGCACGGTCAAGTCAGCGACTACCTCTTCTCCTAAAATCCTCCATCCGAAAAGGCACACCTAGTACTATTAGGACTCATCGTGTTTTGGTGGAAGAATACAGCCAATGAGAGATGTTAGTTTGAAGGGCTCCTATACCATACGCCACAGTCTTCTTCGCCCTAATCCAAGGTTTCATGTGTTCGGAAAATCAACCTGGAAAAAGATGGGTGGATTAAATTGTTTTTCATTCCGAAGGCGACGAGATCCTAGATATCGGCAAGTTTCAAATAGTAAATTCGCAGATCACCGCTATATACAAATTCCAAAGCCACTTGGGGAGCGAAAACGCCTTCTTACGCCCCCTCAGCAGAAAAGGTCATACCCTCAACACGCAATTGTGCAAAATGAGACCAAGCTCTTGACAACGCTTCCTGGAGAGATTCGCACAAAGATCTGGAGGGACTGCATGGGGAATATGATTGTGCCTCTCTGCTTTGAGGACGGTCAATTGGTACGATGCAAACGTGGTCCTGAGCCTCTACCTGCTCCCAAGCTCAGGTCCGGGTTACTTTCCTTACTTTTAGCTTGTCGTCAAACGTGAATATACCCTCCACCATCCCGAAAGTCCCACCTCGATGGCTAGCTAAATTTATTCTTCAGTTACTCGGAGACAGTCAATATTTTATACTCTGCGAACACCTTTTACATCGACTTCCCCCTCTTTCTACCGTATCTGAGTGAAGTTCTTCTGCCTCAAAGAGTTTCTCAGATATGTGATATTTCCCTTGCCTGGTTCCTCAGAGAACCTCCCCCACGCGACTCTCAAAGTTTTCGGGATTGGAAAGAAGTATGCGAGTACCTATCATTGATGCCAGGATTAGAGAAATTGAAGATTGAGATTGAGGGGGACAGTGTTGGGACAACGAGTGAAGCGGAAGTACTGAGCCCTCTATCTATGATAAAACAAACGACAAGCTTTACACTTATTCTTCATTGGGAAGCAGGGAATATAGAGCTTCCTGAGTTGGACTGTGTAATCATAAGGATTTCGAGGAGAGGTCGGCTTGCGCCAATATGAGAAGTTTATGGCTACTACCGACGCTGAAACGAGTTCTATAGAGGAAAATATCAATTTGTGTTTCTTGACAAGAATTATCGAGCCCATAAAACCAGCGGCAAGTTATGAAGCAACTCAAAGGATAATTATAACACAGGGCCCGCAATGCTACCATCGAGTTGCGGTTTCAGCAAAGTTTCCGCCAGGATTCTATGCGCCAAACAAAACAGTGCTACGTTGTCTAAATGTACATTAGCATGTGTAGAGTATTTGGGTCTCGTTGATTAAGACCTACCAGCGTTTTTGATTGCCAATTCTCTTGGTTTTCTCACGGCATTCACCCAGCCATACGGTTTGAGGAGCTTTCTACATCATGCAATTCCGTTCCAGAAAATTTGTGCTTCAATTCATGTACAAACGTCACATCCATAAGTGCGGCTAGATCCATAGCAGTTCCCGGTATTACCCACAGCTTTTCTGTGAACCACATTAGTATGTAGTAAGTGGTACTATATATGACTAGTGAGATATTGTAGCAACTCACTTCCATTTGCGTCGAGATCCAGGTTCTTGAAGTTTTCTGCGCTGCGGAATTGAGCTTTCTTCATCTTGGCAAAGTATTTCGGACAAATTTGTATTTTAGATGGAGCTGGTCCATGACGGGGTACTGCAGTCCACATTTCTGTTAAAAGAATATTGTATGGGTCCGTTTCAATGGATTGTTCGCCATCTTCATTGGGAAAAACTTCATAGGAGCCCGAGATGGCCGCGTCCCACAGACGTGCAGCCTTGGTGCGTTTGAGAGGAGGTGAAGCGCACCATATGACCTGAGTATGAGGTATTCAGTAAACAGTAACAAATCTCAGTAAGATGAACTCGATCCCGCGTACCACCTCTCTTCTGCCTGCAACTCCCAGGCCAACCTGTTGCCTCATTTCGAGAATGTCAGAAATAATATCTGAAGTAACGTTTATTCTAGAAATTTATGGTAGGCTCCTTTCCTTTGATCGTGTTCTTACCATAGAGTCTATCGAGAGTGTTCGCTCCACCGGTACGCCACACACCTGGCGCTGTGTTTCCAGAATCCTTAAATATCCAGTCCGCAATTTGAGATATCTCTCTATACATTATCTCAGGCCTCGCGTTCCAGGGACGCAGTTCTAAAGATTGCTTCGCAATGTCAATCATGTGGAACGCTTTTTGAAGAGAGTCCAGGACGATGCCCCTATTCTCGTTTGCTAACTCTTGATCAAAACGACTCATAATAGTAAAGAACATTCTTTTTAACGTAATATCGCATGATTCATGGAGTACGAAACCACCGGCTGTCGCAAAATAGGCAGCAAATATTCCTAATAGTAGGTAAAAGTTCATGATGCAACCTGGTAACTCTATATGAAAAGGTGAGAAAGATTGTAGTGATAGTTCTCTTTTTTTGAATCGCTGAATATTTTAGACATTAGAGAAAAGTCCATGAATAAGTATTCAGCTCCATCGGATCCTTGGACAGATTGAGGGATTCGATAACAATCCGCGACTGCATTCTAGGCTGTGCTCGGAGTTGGCAAAGGGGATGTGTTGGCAAACAAAAATAACCTACTGACACCAAGGTTCTATTTACGAGCTTATCCTCAATACTCCTCCAACATGTCATTCGTGTGTAAGGAACTTGAGTACTTAAAAGAGGCTGAGGATGTGTTGGTTGTGTAAGCTCGGTTGGGGCCAGTTGGTCGCAAAGCCACGACTAAACCAACAAAACCAACAAAGCCAACGCATGAAAATGACTGGAGGATGTACAAGAATAATACTAGCTGATATTTCTCAATAAATGTTAACTAATAGCGGATGATTCAATACTCATTATGACAAGAGATATATGTAGAAAGGAAGTTCTGCGATCCCTTAGTTTTGCAGTATAATCACCGGCTCCTGGATGCTATGAATGAAGTTGATGATATCTGCTTTTGAACCTCAAGAATCTCCCGCGTGTGATATTGAAACTGCACTTGGGCGGTAATTTGGGTCGAGGCTGTTGACGTGAATGTCTCACCATGTCGGCTAATAAACAACAACCAAGAGATAAGAATAGATTGGGCAGTGTAGCTTACAACTGTTGGTGTAGATTGCTTTTGAAGCAAGTTAGTGTTTGTGTTTAGTTTCTATGCAGAACTTTCCGCTGCTCGGCTCCATTCATAATAAAGGCGGGAAGCTCGAAAAGAATAAGACTTGGTGATCTCACTCATAGCCGATCCCTTTACCCCAAGACTTGCATCAAGATGTTTGAAAACCACTTATTTATGTGCTCACTTCTCGTCTGGGCGAGCGTTATTTTTGGTATTCCTGTGACAATTATTACCCAGCCTCCACCCAAAGCAACTGTTGCTGCTCGACAGGCCATGTAATTATTCTTCGATATCGTTGAATTTGAACAATACGACTAACAAATATCATTATAGAACCTCTTTCGACACGGAAATAATAACTGCCACAGTCGACCATGGGAATTAACTTGCCAATACTGGCGATCTCGGTACCGATGAGCTCATCGAACTTTCAGATCCCCTCGTTCAATCACTAATAAAGTTGTTCAACGATACTTCAATCTGTCCCGCAGCTGTCTCACAACCTCTGCAAAGGAGATCTTACGAAAAGGGCATCTATAAGCGTGTTGAGCCGTTAGTTCTTCAAGATCTGAGACCAGATAACTGTACCAACCCGTTTTTGCGCCGAATCATTGATGGTGCGATCCCTGGCGGAGAATTTGAAGCATGGATTCCACATGGAGATGGGGACGGACTGAGAGATTTGGCAGCAGGTGGAGAGGTTGACCTGCTTGTCTTGGATGCGAATCTTGCCCTTTCCCAAGAGATTCGAGCCAGATACGTATGTATACACCAAAAATATTGCCCTTGTCATGCTCCAAAAGCGATCTCAAGTTAGAGTTGAACGCCCTTTCTCCTTCCTTTGAGGCTTATGCCCAGCCGAGAGGAGATCAGCTCGAAACGGGCATACACACAGGCCGATGACAATTCTTCTAGTCCTGATAGTCCATTCACAATCTCACGCTAACATCCATTTCAAATAGTTACGAGAAGCTAGGAGAGGGCAAGCCCTCAGCTCACTGTCAGTACTCGTTGTATTAATTTTCCAGCGATTACTTCTCGATATAATCAATGAGGTCGCCCTCAAAACCGCGCATAAAATCGTAATTCCAGCAGCAAACTTTGTTAGCAACGCACTTAAAACCAAAACATGCGAAGAAGGAGAAGATGCGGTATGTGTCAATCTAGAAGTCAAGAAAACAAATCTAACACAAAAATAAGCCAGCTTGCATTGATTATGGATGTAATGGTGTAGACGGCAAATGTACTGGACTCGGCAAACGTGGATGTGTATGTCATGATATCATGTATGTCATTCCTGGTTATCCATATGACGAGAGCCTATTGGACAAACAACAAAAAGTACTCGAGATGATCAGCCAAAGCTCCTTGAAAGACTTGGTAAAGGACAGTGCACCCATTTGTAATGGGATTGCCACGCAAAATTGGATTCAGCGCGATATCGGATCGATGTCCATCGAAAGCTACTGCAGCTCACAAGGTAGTAGCGTACCAGCCGGCGAAAAAAGAGAAGCAACATATAATTCTGGTGTTGATCAATTATTTATAAGTACACATTATCTTACAGAAGCCGCTGTATCACCAGGATTATGCAAACTACTACTCTACAAAGTGCTTGATGACTGTGATAGCGGCAACCCCGACAACCCGGGAAACTGGAAGCATGGCGGCTCGATTGATTATCAGAAAGTGGCCACTGTATTTTTCATTCCACAAGGGAGTCCACAGCCCTATTGCAACCCTTATGGAAGTCCGCCGGGCTCAGCTCCATGGGTTGATATTGGTGTCGGTGTAGATGCGGTCAATCAATTTTGTGGTTATTTCAGTCTCGTTGGAAAAAAGGGAAAACGGGAAAACGGAATGCTTTCACTTATAACAAAGGGTCAAATGCTGAGATAACTCTCTCGATGTTATTCACACAAGACTACACATTCTCGACAGATACGTGTATTGCCGCGTAAGAATACTCATCCTACTCACATTCAGAGGTGCAGCTAACTTCTCCTGAAACTTAGTATGAGGCTTCCCCAGGATGCCTGCGGACACAATGATCCGATCAACAATCCGAACAGTAATAAGTATGGTGGCATTTTTATAACTCCCGAGGGGGTCATAATACAAGTTACTCCGAACGTCACTCCGCCTGTTTATCCTCCAGACTCGATTGCACTGGATTGAAGTAGGATTCAACCCAAATGCGTCACTGGTGATTCAACTTTGTTACATGTCGACGAACTAAATCAGGCTGTAAATGCCTTTTAGTGTTGATGGAGATCCCTTAAGCACTCGGTCCACGGATTATCACCGTCACTCCTATATTATTTCTCTCAATCTTCGGTTTTCTTTATCAGCGAAGCAAGTTTATACTGGTAAGACATATAAACAAGGACCAACTGTCTGTAGAGCACACGATATTTGGAAAGGAAACATCATAATGAATAATTGCAAGTATGCGTTCTGTTCCATGAGAGATAAGCGTAAGAACACACATGTCCCTTTTTATAGATAGACTATGCTAATTTCTGCAGCTTGCTCTACGGATTATACAGGTGTAAGCTTCACTTATAATTGTGTTGAATGGTCTTGGTCCCTTGCACTACTTTGAGAAACATTCCTTTTTCACTATGATTAGAAGTCATGACCAGTTCCATTCTGACTCGGGGCCGAGTTCAATGTTTGAGCTTGTTACCGCTTTTATCTACGAAATGCTGTTTCTCTTATTTTAGGTCTGACTACAAGACTTTTCATAATAATTGCGTTTTGTATTCTCTTTAATTGTGAGCACTAGGTGGATCCTCTGCGAGGAGTGGTAACCAAATTTCAGAAATTCTCCTTTAGAAATATACTCCATCTTCCGTTGCACTGATCCTTTTTATTGGCTATATATAAAAAACACATAGCAAAACAATACATGTATCCTACTGGTGATATTTGTGTGACACAATGCTTGCATATCAACCCCATACTACACCAAGCAATAGGGCATTGGGCTGGAAAAGATCATTAACGTGAACCTCTTTAAATTTGGGTTTAGCAATTCCATTTTTAAGCAAACTAAATAACAGCACTGTGATAATAGTACGCGAGTCTTGTGATCAAACTGCTCGGTTCTTCGGCAGAACCACTTAGTTGAAGCTCAACAAGATGGATGGCGTCAAATCTTTGCAAAATAATCCTTTCACAGAGTATCTTTTCTTGGCGGAGATAGCAAGTATCGGCTATCTGTGCTATTGTAACCGTAATTTCGTCTAATTGATCAATACTACGATCATTTGGTTAATTAGTACGTATGATGGAATAGATGGTATTATTTGATCAATTCTTACAAGCGAATTGCTTGTCTTTTAAATTAAAATCAAAAGGTAGTTTTTAATTAAAGCATACCCCTCGCCTAAGAAAGTAAATAAAGCAACCCAAATTCCTGTACCTAAACAAAGGAAAAGTTAGGTTATTCCCGGATTATTTAGCCTTTGCTTTACGACCTTGTCTTTTCACCTACGAGTGTTATTAACCCCCTCGCCTAACGCCCCCCTCCCCTCTAGATGGGGACATGACCGGGTCGGCGGCGTCTATATTAGATAAGAGTAGATAAACCGGGGTACTGGGAAAGTAGAGAGGGCCTGGGAGTATAGTCCTTTATATAAATTAGTAGTTGTTATAGTGTTGATAGCCTATATTCTATTCCTCATTCCACACCCACCAGCTCACTCGTTCTATACCCTCCTGAGACATGACAAAAGCATATCATGGAATGGATTATCATATTTACTACTACTATAATAGTAGTCCTCAAATCTATAGTACGGCGGCTACAATAGTCTAATTAACCAAAACACATATTTGGGGGTTACCATAGCACATATCGAACCGTCGAACGCAAACTTCCTCTAACAGCATACAAAGTTTTGAATGCTTGAATTTAGGACTTGGTTGTGCCTGGTAGCGAATATTCATTATATACGTTGGCAGTATAAATCTTCAAATGTCGGGGCCCCCAGGCACAAATTTGGTCGCTTGTCAAACATTATTATACTTGTTTGATTTAGATCAATTGCAATTGGATTTGTTTCTCTATTCGATTGTTATGTCATAGACGTTGAACTAATAACTGTAAAATTACGTTCTATAGTTCAATCACAACACTAGGACGGAAATTATCCTAGTATAACTCCTGAAGATTCAAAGACTTGTTTTTACATCTGTAGATTTGTCTAAATGAAAAGCTAAACAGGACCACTAACGAGATATCGCTCTTGAAAGCTGAAAACAAATCTAGTCAAGTGAACTATTGACATTACTTCACACCACTCGTTCCAGTCCTACTCTTCCCATATTTCCCCTACAAAAACGCACAGTCATACGATGAAAGGTATGCTCAAGACTTTTGGTCATCGGCGAGCTGGCCACCTCCGAGTGACAGACCTCGGCTCCCATTTCAAATATCTTTCATATTGCGGATTCGTGACTACCGAGACGCGATAAACAAGACACCCTTCTGCCGGTTGGTGATGTTGGCAGCAAAAAGGAACCCGTTCTCCTCTTTCAATATCCGGCTTTTCCGTAGATCTGACATCTTGGAAGTCGACCTCCATCCACTTCCGCGTCCCATCCTTGGTTACAGAAACGAAATAACGTCTGTCCGCTTCTCCGTCACAATCCAGATTGCTGCGGATTCTATTGTACTCTTCGTCAACAGACTTACTGCTAATGCGTCTTTCTACCTCGAAGATATCTTTTGAGTTGTATACAGCCGATTGTATATTATCCGCGTTGAGTACTAAATGACTTGCTTCACTACCACCCATCTCCCGGCAGACTTCTCTGATGAAATCTTTAGCCAAAGAATTATCATAAGGGCAGAAAACTCTGGCAGTACCGTCGAAAATTCGCAACCAGCTCTTCACAATTAAGAGTGGATCAGTCTGGTCTGCCATTTTGCGACAACCTTGCAAGATTTCCTTATTCGAAGCTATTGTAAGACCGAAACAGTGTACACCAAAAATTTGACTTTTGACAACATAGAGTATTGGCAAAACCTTCTCAAAAGGGCACCTGCTGCTTTTCATATCAATATGCTTAGTAAAGCAATCAATTCTGCCGATGCCAAATATTATCTTAAGTATGACCTAAGAGCAATATTGTTTTCTAAGTTTGAGGCATCTTGTTTTGTGACTACGTAAAAATTACAATCAACGAAACCAATATCTTGCCACCGAAAAAGTCACCAGACTAACTCAAGACAGATTCCGGTTTTTTCATTGAGACACAATTAATCTTTTGTGGATGTATGACCTGTGTAGTCTGCTGAAAACCCAAAATGACCTAAGAGAAGCATGATGATTCAATAGCACATTTCATACGGGCAATTCTCGTTACTTTAATTGCTTTGAATAGCCAAATAAAAAAAATTGTTGCAGAACACCTGACACAAAGGTTTCCCATATGTGTATCAAATAATCTTAAAAAAGCTTACTCTCTTGACTAGACTGATGTTACGGCGCGAGGTAAAGACTTTCCAAATTGTACATGGACTATAGGAGTCAAACAAACGGGTTTTACTCATTTCTTTTTACAGGTATTTCTTCAACTTCGCTTAGCACATGGCCTTCTTTCAATTACTCACCATCGGAACTCCGATTGGGCTCCTTAATATGAGGGTGTACTGTACCTTGTGCAAGCCTGGATGTATAGCCTAGCCCAACTCCCGCGTTTCTCTCAAGATCAGCCAAGGATTTTAACGTATCGTAGTCCTTGTACGTATGCTTCCGGCCTCAAGTAACAGAGGCGCGCCAAGGTCCCGTCTCGTCTTCTAGAGAAGTGTCTCCCACACAGAGTCTAGCCCGTGGTAGATACTTGATGTAACGAGATATATAAGATAGGTAAGCTATTCTTGCCTTTCTCACCAAGCAGCAATTACAACCCAACTTACCCACTGGAGATGGTATCATTGTCTTGCCCGTGATCCTCAGTAATCAACTATGATACAACTCAAAGGGCATCCCCAATAAAAGATCAAGAATTATCAGAAAAGTCATCGATGAAACTTACTGTACCAAAGTTAAAGATGTGGCAAATGTAAAACTCCACTTGGCACTTGATGACTTTATCACGTTCTCGACTTTTGGGAGACGATCATTTTAACAACATTGTAGGTCTAGCCTCTCCCAAAAACCACAAGACTTCTCTTCAAGTTCCGTCACACAGAACTAAGCGAGCGAGCTATCACCATCGTCAAATCTGCGAACCAAATATTCTTAATCTCTTCTATCATCAGATGACCCTTGCATCTACAAGATCTCTTCCAACGACCAGAAATCCCCCCTTCCCCTTCCCCACAGCGTATTAAAAACCACACAGCAGTGTTTGTCCCTGATCATTCCCATGAAACGCCTTGCCCCTACAATCGCATACCAAAGCCCAGCCGCAGGCAATCCCAAGCGTACTGTTTGCATGCAGGCCTACCTTGCTAGTTACCAACATCTCTCCTCAGAAGCCAGGAGATGATAAGATACGAGACGTCACAAATTGGCTGACTGTTTGATGGCAGTAAAGTCGTAATTGCTGAGTTTAATCAAATCATCCGTTCAGCCCACTATTATTTTCCACTACCGATACCCGTCTCTCTATCTTCCTACTCGCCGGCCAAACATAAGCCAAGGTAGGGGAGGAGTGATCGACGTGAATCTCAGAGAGCAGCACATAGTATTCACCACCCGACAAACCCTCTACCTAAACCCTCCGTTCTAGCATCTACGTATACAAAAGACTTCTTTCCCATACTTATACATTTAAGCAATCCTCATGTGCTACTCACTACTCGTCACTTTCCTCCTCATCACTCTCCTCATCCCTAACAACCACCAAGCACCCCTCCCTAGTATGCCACAGTCTCCTCTCTTTCTTCCCCAACACAGCATCCAACATACTCCTTGTCTTATCCCTCTCCCTCTTTTCCATCTTTTTCCCTTCATCCGCCTCTTCCGGTTCTGGCACGGGATCCAGCATCCTCGTCTCCTCAACCGTAGCACTGATCTCAAATTCGCCCCTAGAAAGGGCTGTCACTCCAATTTCAACCTCTGTAGTCCCTTGTGCGGGAATAGGAGGAAGAGTTTGCTGGAGTGTCCCATTCCAGACAAGTTTCCTTGTGACATCTAGGGAAACGCGATTGGACTGAGAGCGGATAGAGGGTTGGATGCGAAGAAGTGGGTAAATGAAATGACTGGAGCGATTGTGTATGCGTACTTGCAAGGTATCGAAGTTGTCAGTTACAATCTGATGTTGCGAGTTCTGTGCAGGCTGGCCATTCATCCGAATCTCGATTCCAACATCGGGAATCTTGATAGCATCAATCATACGCTGCGTCAATCGTATACCACGGAGCTCGATTTCACCTGTTCGTGGGGAGCCAGAGGACGTCGACCATGTGCCATGGATCATTTTGAGAATTTCCTCCCGATACCAGAAAGCTTCACGACTTGTTCTTTCGGTCTCAGCGGAGATTTTGCCGGCGCTAACGACGAACTGTCGCTGCCGGGAGGGGTCAAGAGCTGGAATTGCTCGACATGAATCCTCGAGGAAGATACGAGGGATTGGGAACATTAATCTTGTCGCATTTCCTGGGAGAAGATCCTCTTCTATCGAGTTCCCGTTCGTGATACCAAGACACACGTGTAAACGAGAGGGCCAGGCGTTCCGAAAATCCAGGGTCAGCAAACAGTAGTTCTCTGGCGTGATCTCTTCACCGTGCTGGGAAGTGTCCCCTTCTTTCTCCCATAAAGACCTTGGAATATTACCAGTGAGAGGAAGAATATCCATCTTTGACAATTCCAAGCTGGCATTGACAGTTATGGTCAGTGGAAGACTAACTTGGCGCGTATGAAATTTGTCCTCCACTTCGGTTTGAGGCACTCCAAGATAAGCATAGTCAATATGAACTATTGCATGCGTTAAGCCAGGCTTGCCAAGAATTTCTATTTCGAAAGTCGCCGTTGATCCTGGGGCGATGTAGGGAGTCTCCCCCTCTTTTGGTAGCCATCGCAACGATTGTTTTCGAGCGAGAAGAAGCTCAAATTCATACAGTTCTGCCGGTGAAGCATCACGGTTACTCAAAGCCGTCTGCAGAGGAGCTTGTGTGGAATCTTTGAAAGAGAAAAGTAATAAATCTGCGGGTGTTTCAGTTGACAGGTTTTGTAATGTAATTGAAAAGGTGCGCCGTTCTCCTTCTAGCACCATGATTGCAGCTTGAGACAGTGTAGTTGACTTTACTACGACGACAGGCTGTCGATCAATAACATTCAGTGCAAGTGACATTGATTTTGGCGGAGGCATTACTAGGGAGCTCGCAATTGACTTTGAATCTGTACTTTTCGGGCGGTCCTTTGGTCTAAAAATGGATGCGACACCAATTGATTTGATCTTGATGGCACTCTGCGGTGACCAGGGGTCCTCAAATATGGGGAATCGTCTCTCTCGACATCCACGTACTCGAATTACGCAGCCTGTGATCTTGAGTTGGCCGGCTTTCTTAGGGGTACCAGAAACCGTGAGAATTTGAGTTCGATATGGTCCTATTATGGTCTTCTGCGTCGTTGATTCGAATTCTGATCCTTCTGATTCCAGCCTGATGCTTTCAACTTCAACGTCGAATTCATATGGATTCTGCAAGGTGACTCGGAATGTGGCCCCTTCACCTGCGACAAGTAGACGATCTACAGCCGCAGCATTTGGCGGTTGCAAAAACGGGTTATATATAAATGGGTTGACCTTCCCAGTCGCAGCAACCGTTGCTGCGCCAGGCAGATCCTTTTTGGTGTGTGGTATAGGCGTCCGAGCTGTTGATAAAGCTTCGAGCTCAACACCTCGAACGAGAAACTCGTCCCAGTATTCGGCGGCGAGGTTCTTGACTCCCAGATGCTTCGCAGCACCAAGAGTCCTCGATATATTCGTGGAAAGCCTTAATTGCTCTTCCCGAGACATAGATGGCGATGCATCTTCACTTCGAGGGCCTGGTGCAATACCACTACCAGCTGTTCTCAACAGATCTGCCGTAAATCTAAGAACACCATGAAAATCCGGCAAAGCTTCTGAGAGGTTGATACAAGAGCGAAGTACATCCATCTTTAGGTTGCGGCCTCCAAATGATCGGGTCGTAGCATTATGCATTATTCGTTTAATCGTTGCGTCGTCTGAATCATCATGGTTCTTGGCACTGCCAGTCAATTCGGATGTGACAACACCATAGGTTTTGATCAACAATCCTAGAAATGTATCCACGCCATTCTCCACGTCGCCCTCGCCAAGGTCGAGAGCACCAGCACCATTGGTACTGCCATTGACGGAATTGAGAGCAGCCAGCCCAGCAGCTGGATGAACGCCCATCTCTGCAGCACCCTTGATCCGTGCTTGTATTAATCCGGGAATGAGAACGGAAACAAGCTCACGCATGACCATGGCTTTCTTCCGATAATAGCCCAGCGACCCCAGAACCGAAGCTATGCCACTAAGAACGATTGTCCGATCGACCAGAGACAAAGACTCTGAGGAGGAAGAGGCAGGCAACCCACGAGAAAGTGTTGTGTATATTTCCGTACGAGTAGGACGAATACTCAAACGGGGAGAAAACAAATTAACATGCCTCTTGCTCGGAATTCCCGCAACAACTAACTGTAGAACTTCATCGTCTAAAATCCCGCCAGCCGAATGTATTGCTGCTGAAAGCTTCGAAAACCGTATGGCTGATTCAGAAAATGGGAGCTGCGGCAGAGTTTCTCCAGTGTTGTTGGCTGATCTGGTGTAAAGATTCAAAATCCTGTCTAACAACTCCGGAAGCAATGCAGTCAGATTTTTCAAGGAAACAAGACGGCTGCTAGCAGGGCCTTTTGGATCTCCTGCGCCTGACTGCTGTGTTGCCTTTTCTGCCGTTACGTAGCAGATTTGGGGTATTTGGAAATCTAAACCAGTCCAAGCCTGCATTAGCATACTCACAAGAATATAGTCAAGAGCTTTCGCATGCCAAAGATGATCAAGATTATACTTTGCGATCGATGCTGCCTCGGTAAGCTCTCGGGTGGCGTCCAGCCATCTTCCCGCTTGTAAATAAAGAGAGCCGATCACAATACCAATTCTGCCTTTACCGATATTCCTGGACCTTTCACTGACACTTCCTGGGCCAAAGCCTTGAACAGATACACGATCTCGGCTCCTATCTCTACCAGAATCTGAGCTGATCAGTCGGGACAGACCTGGTCTTGAGTTTTTAAAATCTGGGTTGGCTCCCACAATTTGTTCAAAAGTAGTTGGGAGCTCCGATCTGGCACCATTGGGAGTAGATCTTCCGGACGATTCATTGGAATCCGCGGTTTTGAATTGCGCTGGCATGGACATTCGAACATGACTACGGTCAAAATTTGCACCTGGTGATGCCGTACGAGAAGAAGTACCCAACTGCGAACCCCGGCGCTGAATTGTACCTGCATGTGCGGTTTGCCAAGCGGTTCCATCAAACTGCTTCAGGATTTGTAATTGACTTGGGGATTCTATGGTGTGGAGAGCTTGTAAGGATTTTGCCAAGGTGGTCATTTCTGCTAGTAGAATCGAGGAAATGTCGCACATGATTGTCTTAAGGGTGGTTCGTTTGCATTGCGCCGCTGGGGGTACGGCGACAATGCCTTCGGGGAGAGGAGCCGCAGTAGGAACGACAACATGATCGAATAGTAGCAATTGGTGTACTAGTCCCTTTGGATATCTGTCTTTCAAGTCCTCAAAATCCTGCTCCAGTTCTCGTAACCCGTGTTCTGGCTTCGGCGGACCACTTCCATTGAGACTATTTCGCACACTGTCCCGATATGATATACGGTCCAGTTCTTGGGCGTCTGCAATAGCTATAATTACAAGAGGTTCGCGGTATAACTCAAAAGGAGAGAGGACCACATGGGAGAGGGAGGGATTGAAGGTGGTGAGGTCGTATACAATCATGCCGGTGGGAAAGGCGAGGGGAGAGAACATATCTATGCATTGTTAGTTACATCTGCCACTTCTGAGCCTAGTGTTGGCATATTTTATCTGATATCCTACTTCTATGAGGGCGGCCATCTGGACTGATGTCGCCCAACTGGACTACCTTTTCTGGCTGCAGTCTCTCGACGAAGCTGAGGAATCTCGCCCGTTTGATCTGACCGATGGGCAGCAGAACCACTCGTACTCTTGCGGGAGCAACGGGCGAGAGCTGGTCCAGCATTCTGACAACATCTGGTACGTGTTATGCGCCGGGGTAGCTTGTCGGTAGAGCTTCAAACGGGGGAGGGAGAAGGGCCGTGGGAGGATTGAGTTCTCAACTGGATGCGCGCATTTCAATGGATACAGATATTGAGGGGGGAAGGGTGAGGGATGAGGTCGATGATAGGGGGGTGTGGGGGGGGAGGCTAGACGAAAATAAGTGTTTGCAAGCTGGAGCTGTTTGCGCCTCATATGTAGGTACCAGTACCTGGTCTCCCGGTGGACAAGATAAGTGGCAGTCTTGGCACTGGCGTATCGCACCCACCCAATATTCTACCCCTTAATCCGAACACTACTACTACCACTACTACTACATTCCTCGCTATTATAGCTAAAGACAAAGACGGAAAGGGCCGTAACCAGTGGACTAGTAAGCGGCCTCGGACTCCTAAACCTACGAATCCTAGAGACGTAATAATTATACAAAAAAGGTAGAAAAATGAGTATCGGAAAACCCCTATTAAGTCTCGCGTATAGACGACCGTTCTTTATTCCGATGTATATATCCCTAGGGTATACTAAGAGACTCGAAAAGCTATATTTAACTTTATAAGGGCTTCTAAGTGTACTAGATACCGGTATATCTAGGGTATATATAACAAGGCTAGAATAGACCCCTCTAAGAAGAACTATAGTATAATAACTATAGACTAAACGTCGGCTAGGTAATTTATATACGATTCGTACTACGAGGAGACCCGAGGATAGAAGCCGTTAGTTTTAGAGGAGGACGTCTTTCGACTCAAGTACCTTATATAGGATTAGGGCTTTAAAGGGCGTATAATAACTTAGAATACGCTAGTAGAAGAGGTACAAATACTAGGTTAAAAGCTAGGTACGTATGTAAGCGGTAAGACTATCTAGCGTAAGATAGGCGGCTACGGCTAGCGCTACTATATTATATATCGGAAGGGCTAGGTCTCTCCTAACTTAGCTAAGCGCTATTAGAAATAGGTAGAGGATATACTAAAAAAGTACCTAAATATATTAAATTAGTATCGTATACGCTTCTCGGGCGAAGTATACTTCTCTTTTAGACTAACTAGGCGTATCTATATACTATATAAGAGAGGGGGGATCGCTACTACCCTGACTATATCTAAAGATAGAAGAAGAAGATAAAGAAGAAGAAGGGCAAGGGGGGTATAAATAAGAGGAAGGAAGTAGACCTATCCTATAAGCTCTACACATAGGCTACTATTAGCTATAACTTTAAAAGCGACCTAATCTTCTATAATATAGGGAACTCGAATAGTAAGATATCTAAGTACTATATAAAGTAGATACTTAACCCGGTTATCCTACCTTAGATCTCAGCTAGGTACGACTTTATACTTAAAGAAGATAGAGACTCGGGCTACGAACTAAGTTAGTAGCTAGAAGATAGCCTATAAGCTAGAGACTTATAAGAACTATCTAGGGGCCCCCGATTTAGCTCCTATCGAGAATAGCTAGTAGCTAGTTAAACAGTATATAAAGAAGTTTACCTATAATAGTATCGAGGGCCTTTAAGAGCTAGCTTTAGAGGGGTAGGCTACTTTAAAATAAGAGACTATAAATAAGTAGGTGTAACGAATACTCAAACTGGCTAACTAAACTTGGCTGGGTGTTCGCTGGTTGGTATGCTATGATAAGAAGAAG